CTTCTCTTGCTCTCTCTCTTGCTCTCTTCTCTCTTGCTCTCTCTTCTCTCCTCTCTTTCTCGCTCTCTGCTCTCTCTCCTCTCTCTGCTCTCTTCCCTCTTGCTCTCTCTCTCTCTTGGCTCTCTCTTCACTCTGGCTCTCTCTCTTGCTCTCTCTCTCTCTCTTGTTCGTCTCTTGCTCTCTCTCTCTCTCTTGCCTCTCCTCTCTGCTCTCTCTTCTCTGCTCTCTCTTTCTCCTGCTCTCTCTCTCTCTTGCCTCTCTCTCTCTCTTGCTTCTCTTCGTCCACATTTTCCCTACTAACTCTCCCCTCTCCTACTCCTTAAAAAAAAAGAAAAAAAAAAAAAAAAAAAAAAAAACTGGTGGGGGACTCGCAGGGACCCAAGGATCATGAATGCAGAATGGTTCGGGTAGGGAGGAGTGGATGGAGGAGCAGTGGAAACGGGATGGAACCAGGTGTGGGAGGAGAAAAATTCCGGAGTGCTTCTGAAACAAATGAGAACAGAGCTCTCGCTGTGAAAATGGAAAGGTGGTTGGAGAAGGAGACAAAGAATTTGGAGGCACCAAGTCGAAACTGCAGTAGCCAAGATAAGGGACCTAGATGTGAGATAAATAGTCTGGAGCGCGTTACAGGGGCAGTGTCCAGCAGAAGGACACAGCATCTGACGCTGCGAGGCTGAACAGGAAGGAAGGAATTATGTATTATGCTAGGTACATCAATCTGCCAAGGAGGCCCAAGGAGTGAAAGGGAAGATCCAACTGGTTTGCTGATGAGAGGTTGCTAGTCGAATGCTGCTGGCCAAGGCTAACAAGGCCACTGGAAAAAATCAAGGGAGAAAACTGACACATTACAGGCAGGATCCAGAGCCCAGAGGGGAGAGGCAATGCGTGGAAGAAAGGCAAAATCAGTGTTTATCCATGGGCTTCAGGAGAGAGATGGAAAAGGACACACACTGAAAGGACGCAGGAAGAAGGCAAGGGCTGCTTGCGAAACTCATAACAGAAATAGGTGAAGAGAGGGACGCGATTGTAAAATTTTCAGAGAATAGGGGGGTATTCGAAGGTGAGGAAACCAACAATGCCACAGCTGATTCCAGGACGGAAACAGGCCGGCCCGGATTCCACCCACGAGAAAACCCCGATGACATACTCGGAAGAGTACAAGAGGGTGTCCTAGGACAGAGACAGAACCAAATCAGAGACAGCAGCTAGGGAGAGGACAAAAAAAGCGAAAGGAGCTTGGGAAAAGGACAAGGAGGGAACCCAGCAGAGTCAGTCCGAGCAGGACAGCACAGCCAGGGCAAGCACACACATCAACTACTCTCAGATACCATACACCCTATCACACCTCCCAACCACCACCCTACAATCCCTACCCACAGCCTCCACCACCACCAAGCTCTGCACCCACAGTATGCACAGGTCTCCCCCTCACCGGGCCCCCCAAACCCCACAGTGTTGGAAAGGGAAAAATGAAGGTATGGTACCTACACGCTGATGAATAAAACCAAATTAGTGCGGAGGAGTGCATGAAAGAGTCAACGGAAGCATCTACCGACATCATAGCTCTCACCGACACCAAAGCTTACAGTTGATAAACAGATGGCCCATCTTTCCAACGGTATTACCCAAATCTGAGGAAAGAAAGAAGGGCACCGGGGGGGTGGAGAGTGGCGATGCTGATCCAAAAAATCGCTGGAATTTTGCTGAGCAGGAGAGAGACGATAGCGGAGAAGAGGGTGATTCCATAGTGGGAACCCCCTTCACTCTGGGAGGCCCAAGGTGGTAATAGCCAGTGATGTATAACCACCACCAGAACAGCAGGAGGCCAGGCAAGAGTCCGACGGAGCAATAGAGCGAATGGTTGACACTGGCCTACGTGGCCAGAGAGCTCATGCATGCAGGGCAACGTCCTGATCATGCGTGACTTTAACCACACGGAGATAGCTTGGGAGATCTTGGGACCCCCCATGGGCAAGATATTGGAGGGCTAAGATGCTGGAGGTGGTACTGGGGAACTTCATGTACCATACGTTAGGGACACTACAAGAGGAGAGCGGAGAGGATGAACCAGCAAGGCTGGACATCGTATTCACCTTCCGTAGTGCAGATATCCGAGGACTTCCTTAGAAGAACCCCATTGGGGCCAGTGCCCATGTGGTTGAAGCTGCTGAATCACAGTAGAGCTACAAGTGGAGGGTGACGCAGGAAGGCAGGCGAAGGAAGCCAACTACTAGAAAGGGGACCTTACAACAGGAATGAGGAACTACCTGAATGGGGTTCAGTGAAGGACAGCGACTGGCAGGGAAACCAGTTAATGAGATGATTGGAATATGAAGCATAACATGCAAGGAGGCTGACGGAGAGGTTTTTACCCAAGGGTAACAGGAGTAATGATATAAACCAGATGTGCTTGGTTTCCCCAAAGGTGCAGGGAGGAAAAAACACGTGTGCTAGGGAATGGAAGAAATATAGAAGGCAAGGACCCAGGAGATAAGTAGCCAGTCGTAGAGCAGAAACTGAATATGTCACATTAAGAAGGCGGCCAAAGACAAATTGAAAATGCATAGCAGCGAAAGCCAAATCTGACCCCGAAACAGTTGGTCACAGCCACATCAGGCGTAAAACAACAGTCAAGGACCCAGGTAATCCGGCCTAAGGAAGGAGGAGGAGCGACAACAGAAATCGACGGGAAGTATGTGAAGAACTCAACACGAGATTCACTAGAAGTGTTCACAGAGAGAGACGAAGGGACTCCAGAAGCCGGAGCGGTGGGGACCCACCCACATGGGGTTTTAGGGCTGGACACAGTGCACACAACCAGGAAGAAGTGAAGGGCTTCTGAGATGAGCTAGATCCTCACAGGCAATGGGGCATATAACATTCCCCCATGGGTAATGAGAGAGGAGCAGAGGCGCTCTGTGTACCCCTACCAACAATATTCAAATACATCTATCGAAACAGGGAGATTGCCTGAGGCATGAAGACAAGCCCAAATTTAGTCCCAATCGTTACAACAACGGTAGACAGACATGAAGCATTAAACACAGGACCAGTGTCACTGACCTGATGTATGCCAAATCATGGAGAAGATTTATCAGGAGAAGGAGTGGTGGAACCCCTAGCAAGGTGATATCATCACAGCAGCCCAGTCATTGTTTCCAGGGACGGAAATCGGTGTTTTCTCACAAACCTACTGGAGTTCTATGACATGTGTGGTGACCGCCAGTCAGACAAGATGCGGTAGAGGGGTGGGTGGTTTGCATTATCTTGGACTGCAAGAAGGCGTTTGACACCGTTCCACACAGAGAATGGTGCAAAAACTGGAGGACCCAGCGGGATAACCGGGAAGGCAACTACCATGGACTCAGGGAATATTGTCAGGAAGGACCGCAGCGGTCATGGAACGTGGCGAGGTGTCCAGATTGGGCCTGTGACAGCGGGTCCCGCAGGGGTCAGTCTAGGGTCCCAGGAGCCTGTGTTCTGGTATTCTGTGAACGCCATGACGGAAGGCAATAGACTCTGAGAAGTGTCCCTGTTTGCAGATGACGTGAGTTGATGAGAAGAATACACTCGATCGAAGGACCAGCGCAGGAACTACAAAGGGTCTGAATGCTGCAGAACTGGTCCAGCAATTGGCTTCCTGGAGTTTCAATCCACCCAAGTGCAAAGTCATGAAGATTGGGGACGGGCAAAGAGGCCGCAGACGGAAGTACCGTCTAGGGGGCCGAGACTACAAACCTCACTCAAGGAAAGATCTTGGGGTGAGTATAACACCAGGCACATCTCTGAAGCGCCACATCAACCAAATAACTGCTGCAGCATCTGGGCGCCTAGCAATACCTAGAACAGCATCCGCCAATCTCTAAGAATCGTTCCGGACCCCTGTAACCGTATACGTTTGGCCCATCTTGGGTATGCCGGCACGAAGTTTTGGAACCACACCTAGCAGCACGTAAAGCAAACTAAAGAAAGTGCCAAAGGTTTTCAACAAGACTCGTCCAGAGTAAGGTATGTCATACGAGGAGAGGATAAGGGAAATCAACTGTACGACACTGGAGGACAGGAGGATAGGGGGACATGATACACGACATACAAAATACTGAGAGGAATTGACAAGCGTGGGACAAACAGGATGTTCCCGAGATTGGAACACAGTATCAAGGGACACCAGGTGGAAAGCTCAGACACAGCTGACTCACAGGATGTTAGGAAGTATTTCTTCAGCCACCAGAGTAGTCAGTAAGTGAATAGTTGGAGGATGTAGTGGAGGCAGGATCCATACTTAGCCTTTAAGCCAGAGGTACACCAAAGCCTCACGGGCTCAGGGAGAGTGACCTAGTAAGCGATCAGTGAAGAGGCGGGGCCAGGGAGCTCGGATCGACCCCGCAACCCTCAACTAGTTGGGTACAACTAGGTGCGTACACACACACACACACACACACCACACACCACACACCACGCAGCCACACACACACACCACACCTCACACAACCACTTCCAAGAGCTGGCTACTGGTAATATACCAATACAGTAATCTTTCTACACATGGGTGTTTGTTTTAAGGTGAAAGAATAGAAGGGTGAGACCAATCCTGTGACTGGAGGGTACCAGCCGGGCGGTTACCTGAGCGTGTAGCCCACGGGGTTGTCCACCCTGACGTTCGGAGTCCACGCCAGTGACCGAGTACTGCGTGATGTTGGTCACCCTGACCCAGGTAGTGGAGGGGGCAACAAGATGGGGGAAGGGTGGGGCTTGGTGGCGATAGCTGAAGGGAAGTTGAAAAGATTGATGAGGGAAAATCGAGTCGGGAATGGATGGACAGGGAAGTTGCGGAAAGCAGAAATAGGAGAGACAGCGAGACAGAATGAGAGGAAGGAGAGAGAGAGCGAGCGAGAGAGAGAGCGAGAGAGAGAGAGAGAGATGAGACGCGGAGAGAGAGAGGAGAGAGAGAAGTGGAGAGAGAGAGAGGAGGAAGAGAGAGAGAGAAGGAGAGAGAGAGGAGCGAGAGCGGAGAGTGGGAGGAAGAGAGAGAGAGAGGAGAGAGGAGAGAGAGAGAGACAGAGAGAGAGAGGAGAGAGAGAGAGTTAAAGCAAATTTATTATTTAACACCCCAGTGGTTTCTAATCATGTATTCAATAACATGATGGCATATATACCCCCTGTCACCAAATATATTTAAATATATATAATCGTTTAAAATATTTGCTGAATTTATGAAAAACAGAAACATTACTTAGAATTATTATTATTATAAATTGGTCACCCTTAATTTACCCCAAATTTACACTAAATATCCCCTATTTCATTAATTTACCCAATTTAATTAATTTACCCCAATTTACATTAAACTTTACCCCAATTATACCACTAATTTACCCTCCCAATTTACATTAAAATTTACGCTCTACTCTCCTGGTGCTTAGGTACTTACGGTGAGGTTGAAAGGCGTGTGTGGGCGTGTGGGCGGATTGAGAGCGAGATGGGCTGAGTCGGAACCCAAAGGGTTGTGGGCAGTGCACTTATACTGGGCGTAGTCTTCCTCCTGCACCGCCCGTACCTCCAACACCCCCGCCCACACCCACCAGCCCGTTCCACCAGGCTGACACAACACCCTAGTATTATTATTATTATTATTATTAATTATTATCATTGCCATTATTCCCAATTATTATTGCTAATTATTAATTAGTCATTTTTATCACTGTTAATTATTATTATTAGTAGTAGTAGTTGTAATATTATTCTTATTTACTATTTGTTATTATTTTTATTATTGTTACTGTTGTTAATTATTATTGTTAAATTACTATTATTGTAATTCTTTTTTGTTACTTATTCTTATTATTCCCCTCTGTGGGTCGTGGATGACATATTTCTCCTGTGTTATGAAGACTGAGGTCATCCTGTGGTCGTCCAGACGAAGGGGGGGGCGGGGGCGCCCTCACACGAACAGCCAGACGTCCCTCCCCGCCCACGCTGCCATGCACCACCACCCTCCTGCGTCACCACTGCGCCTCTAAGTCGACAACCAAGTATTGTGGCTCTGGGGTTCCTTGTAAACACAAAACCGCATTAACATCAGCTGACATTGAGAGATAACGTGATCACCTTAATTGGTCAGGGTCTGGACTTTCCAGGGCAACCAGAGCGTCGTCAGGAGCTATGTATTGTGGCTGAGAGCTGTGTGAATGTGATCGTGGGTGTTATTCACCTATATGTGGTTGCAGAGGTCGATTCAATAGCTCCTGGCCCGACTCTTCGCTTGGTCGCTACTTGGTCCTCTCTCTTCCTGCTCCATGAGCTTTTCATAGCCCTCGTGTTAAAAGTATGTGTGGAACTGCTTCACTACATCCCTTCTACAGATTGTTCCATTCCTGACCACATATGACGAAGAAATACTTCATAACATTCCTAAGGCCTCTTCTTGAACCTTTCAAACTTCCGGTTGCTGGTGTGATCCATCTCTGGAACATCCTGTCTCTATCAACCTTGCAATTCTTCTCAGTATTTTATATGTCGGTCCCATGTCTCCCCATCCCCTCCTGCCGTAGTGTCGGCAGGTCGCTTTTTTCCTTAACCTTCCCTCGTCGGACATCCCCCTGTAGCACCGAGACTAGGTCTTTTTTCTTTTATTTTATTTTTTTTTCTTGCAACCTTTGCACTTTCTCTAAACAAGTGTGTGTATGTGTGTGTGTACGTGTGTGTGTACTTACGTGTGACGATAACTTTAGTAGCGACAGAAGGCGCGGAGGACACCACATTAGGGCGTGGCCAGAGGTCACGGCCCGTTGTCGCCCCGTTGCCTCCTCAGCCCCAGGCGAGCCAACCCCCCGCCCGTGCTTCAACATTGATTGGAGCTGAAAACTAATGGAAAACCAACCCTCCCATCATATAACCCCACACGGCTTTACTCCCCACCAGTATAACTCACGGCAACCATTCACGACAGATAAAAGGACTCACCTATTGTGGGCGTCCCTGGTCCAAGTGAGTGTGGGAGGTGGGTTGGCGTGGGCGGTGCACTTACGGTAGCTGCCCCGCCCTCCACCCACGGTCCCACGCTCGCTGCCTCCACTTGTTCAGCGCCATCTATGTAACAGTCAGTTCATCTTTTTAGTGCACTTCATACCTTCAATACTTATTACCAATACTAATAATAATTGCAAAATTCAATATAATACTTTAAACAATTACCAATAATAATAATATAAAAAATTACAATAATAATCATTAAAAATACAATCATAATAGATTTAAACATTCCTCTAATAATAATTTAAGAAATTACACTATAATAAAATTTAAATATTACAATAATAATTAATAATTTAAAACTTACATAATAATACTAATTTAAAAAATTACAATAATAATTTTAAAATTACCATAATCATTTTAATAATTACCAATACTACTTACCCTTCAATAATCCTGGGGATTACATACAATAATCCTGGAATAACAACAATACTTCTGGGATAAACCCACAATAATCCCTGGGATAACTACATATCCTGGTTAACTACAATATCCTGAGGATCATTACAAAATCCTGGGGATAACAACACTATCCTGGGATAACTCATAAATCGTGGGTTAGCTACAATCATACTGTAATAACAACAATAAACCTGGGATAACTCCAATAATCCTGTTGGATAACTACCAAAATCTGGGATTAACTACAATAATCCTCGGATAACTACAATATCCTGGTTGTGGCAATACCAATACTCTGGGATCACTACAATACTCCTGAGATATTACAATAATCGGGGATAAACTACAATCACCCTGGGATTAAACTCCATCATCCCTGTGATAACTACCAATACTCCTGGATAACTAAAATAATCCTGAAGTACTTACCCACATCACCCTGGGATAACTACCCATAATCTGTGCATACTACAATAATCCTGGGATCATACAACTATCAGGGCTAACTATAATAATCAGGGATACCTACAATACTCCTGGGATACTTACATATCCTGTGATACCTACACAATTGGATAACTCCATAATTCCCTGTGATAACTACAATAATCCTGGGATCACTACAATCATCCTGGGATAACTACAATAATCCGGGGATATTACAATTACTCCTGGGATAAACCTCAATTAATCTGGGATAACTACAATAATCATGGATAAACTACAATAACCCAGGATACACTACATAATCCTGGGGATAACTACAATAATTCTGGGATAATCTACACAAGAATCCGGGGTAACTACAATAATCTGGGCTAAACTACAATAAACCCTGGGATAACTACAATAATTCTGGGATAACTACAATAATCCTGGGATAACTACAATAATCCTGGGATAACTACAATAATTCTGGGATAACTACAATAACCCTGGGATAACTACAATAATCCTGGGATAACTACAATAATTCTGGGATAACTACAATAATCCTGGGGTAACTACAATAATCCTGGGATAAATATATCTTTTCTTGGTCTCATCCAAGATAATTCATATATATTTTATAGGTAGCAACGGCCTCTTGATCTAAAGAATTGGAGCCACTCTCCTCCTCCGTGGATCAAACCTCCCGTTCCTCAGGCGCTATGTGACCCCTGCGGGTTTAGAGTTTCTCAGTTAATGTGATATTAATCTCTCTCCCAATTTTCCTCCCTCTCTCTTTTCTCTCCCTCTCCCCCTTCCTTTCTCTTTCTTTCCCTCCCTTTCTCTTTCCTTCCCTTTTTCTCTCCCTCTCTTTCCCTCTCTCTTTCTATCTCTCACTTTTCCTCTCCATGGTTCACCCTGGTCTCCCTCCCTGGTAACCCTGGATACTCACACTGTATATTAAGGAAGAAGGAAGCGTTGATAGCGCCCCTGGGGTTGTAGGCGCTGACGGAGTAGTTACCCGAAGCCGACCTGCTGACACTACCCAACCTCAGCTCTCCTCCCGTAGCCTCCAGCGTCTCCTCTTCTCTCCTCCACCAGTACCTGCACCACACTAGTACATGTACTCACACCTACACTAGTACCTGGAAGACACTACTGCATGTACTGATACCTGCAGTACCTCCACCAGTACCTGAAAGACACTGCTGCATGTAATGATACCTACAATAGTACCTGGAAGACACTACTGTATGTACGGACACCTACAGTACTTCCATTAGTACCCGAAAGACTACTGCATGTACTGACACACTCCCTTCACCAGTACGTTAGATTGTGGTTAGTGGGTTTAAGTTTAAGAAAGACTTGCCTAGTATAGGCCAGTAGGCCTACTGCAGGCTCCAATACAACTGAAGCAGCAGTTGCCCTTAAAACTGTGATTATTTACGAATTTCTGCTAAAACAAGAGAAATATAAAAAAATATTATTCAAATCGCTCTGAATCGTCGAAATATAGAATAAAATTAAATTTTAGCATATTTTTCTTATTTTTTTCTTTCTTATGTTGTTAATGTGTTTAATATATACCTGATGGGGCCGGGGTTGGCGGTAGCTGAGGCGGTGATCACCAGCTGTGTCCCCTCGTGAACGTCCAGCTGCTCAGCTGGTCGCACCACCCACAGTGGCGAGTCTGTCAACATGTATAATACAACTGTATAATACAACACTGGTGAGTCTGTCAACATGTATAATACAACTTGTATAATACAACACTGGTGAGTCTTTAATAGTAATACTGATGGAGGGTAGTACCAGAGGCTACTTACAGGACAGTACTAGTACTACTGAGGGAGGACAGTACTAGTACTGCTGAGGGAGGACAGTACTAGTACTACTGAGGGAGGACAGTACTAGTACTACTGAGGGAGGACAGTACTAGTACTACTGAGGGAGGACAGTACTAGTACTACTGAGGGAGGACAGTACTAGTACTACTGAGGGAGGACAGTACTAGTACTACTGAGGGAGGACAGTACTAGTACTATGAGGAGGACAGTACTAGACTGCTGAGGGAGGACAGTACTAGTACTGCTGAGGGAGGACAGTACTAGTACTGCTGAGGGAGGACAGTACTAGTACTGCTGAGGGAGGACAGTACTAGTACTGCTGAGGGAGGACAGTACTAGTACTACTGAGGGAGGACAGTACTAGTACTACTGAGGGAGGACAGTACTAGTACTACTGAGGGAGGACAGTACTAGTACTGCTGAGGGAGGACAGTACTACTGAGGGAGGACAGTACTAGTACTGCTGAGGGAGGACAGTACTAGTACTGCTGAGGGAGGACAGTACTACTGAGGGAGGACAGTACTATGTAACTGCTGAGGGAGGACAGTAACTAGTACTGCTGAGGAGGACAGTACTACTGAGGGAGGACAGTACTAGTACACTGAGGGAGGACAGTACTAATACTCTGAGGGAGGGACAGTACTACTGAGGGAGGACAGTACTACTGAGGGAGGACAGTACTACTGAGGGAGGACAGTACTACTGAGGGAGGACAGTACTACTGAGGGAGGACAGTACTACTGAGGGAGGACAGTACTACTGAGGGAGGACAGTACTAGTACTACTGAGGGAGGACAGTACTAGTACTGCTGAGGAGGACGTACAGTACTACTGAGGGAGGGCAGTACTAGTACTGCTGAGGAGGACAGTACTAGTACTACTGAGGGAGGCAGTACTAGTATACTGAGGGAGGACAGTACTAGTACTGCTGAGGGAGGACAGTACTAGTACTACTGAGGGAGGGCAGTACTAGTACTACTGAGGGAGGACAGTACTAGTACTCTGAGGGAGGGCAGTACTATACTTGAGGGAGGACAGTACTAGTACTACTGAGGGAGGACAGTACTAGTACTACTGAGGGAGGACAGTACTAGTACTACTGAGGGAGGACAGTACTACTGAGGGAGGACAGTACTAGTACTGCTGAGGGAGGACAGTACTAGTACTACTGAGGGAGGACAGTACTAGTACTACTGAGGGAGGACAGTACTAGTACTGCTGAGGGAGGACAGTACTAGTACTGCTGAGGGAGGACAGTACTAGTACTATTGAGGGAGGACAGTACTAGTACTACTGAGGGAGGACAGTACTACTGAGGGAGGACAGTATTACTGAGGGAGGACAGTACTAGTACTGCTGAGGGAGGACAGTACTAGTACTGCTGAGGGAGGGCAGTACTAGTACTACTGAGGGAGGACAGTATAGTACTACTGAGGGAGGACAGTACTAGTACTACTGAGGGAGGACAGTACTAGTACTGCTGAGGGAGGACAGTATTACTGAGGGAGGACAGTACTAGTACTGCTGAGGGAGGACAGTACTAGTACTGCTGAGGGAGGGCAGTACTAGTACTACTGAGGGAGGACAGTATTACTGAGGGAGGACAGTACTAAGAAGTACTGTACTCGAGGGAGGACAGTACTAGTACTACTGAGGGAGGACAGTACTAGTACTGCTGAGGGAGGGCAGTACTAGTACTACTGAGGGAGGGCAGTACTAGTACTGCTGAGGGAGGACAGTACTAGTACTACTGAGGGAGGGCAGTACTAGTACTGCTGAGGGAGGACAGTACTAGTTACGTACTGAGGGAGGACAGTACTAGTACTGCTGAGGGAGGACAGTACTAGTAATGCTGAGGGAGGACAGTACTAGTACTACTGAGGGAGGGACAGTACTAAGGACATATCTGAGGGAGGACAGTATACTGAGGGAGGACAGTACTACTGAGGAGGCAGTACACTGAGGGAGGCAGTACTAGTACTGCTGAGGGGAGGACAGTACTACTGAGGGAGGACAGTACTACTGAGGGAGGACAGTACTAGTACTGCTGAGGGAGGACAGTACTAGTACTACTGAGGGAGGACAGTACTACTGAGGGAGGACAGTACTACTGAGGGAGGACAGTACTAGTACTGCTGAGGGAGGACAGTACTAGTACTACTGAGGGAGGACAGTACTAGTACTACTGAGGGAGGGCAGTACTAGTACTGCTGAGGGAGGACAGTACTAGTACTACTGAGGGAGGGCAGTACTAGTACTGCTGAGGGAGGACAGTACTAGTACTACTGAGGGAGGGCAGTACTAGTACTGCTGAGGGAGGACAGTACTAGTACTGCTGAGGGAGGACATTTACTAGTACTACTGAGGGAGGACAGTACTAGTACTGCTGAGGGAGGACAGTGCTAGTACTACTGAGGGAGGACAGTACTAGTACTGCTGAGGGAGGACAGTACTAGTACTGCTGAGGGAGGGCAGTACTAGTACTGCTGAGGGAGGACAGTACTAGTACTACTGAGGGAGGGCAGTACTAGTACTGCTGAGGGAGGACAGTACTAGTACTGCTGAGGGAGGACAGTACTAGTACTGCTGAGGGAGGACAGTACTAGTACTACTGAGGGAGGACAGTACTAGTACTGCTGAGGGAGGACAGTACTAGTACTACTGAGGGAGGACAGTACTAGTACTGCTGAGGGAGGACTGTACTAGTACTACTGAGGGAGGGCAGTACTAGTACTGCTGAGGGAGGACAGTACTAGTACTGCTGAGGGAGGACAGTACTA